AGACAGCACACCCATTTTATAGGACATTACACCTATTTTTATCTCCAAATGAGGCAAAAGAAGCTGATCGACCGGCTTGAGCGTGCACAAGTACTAAGTGAATCCATCCCGGTGCTCCTCATCAATGCAGAAGGGGTCCAGTTCCACATGCTGGCCTGCAGGCACGTTCTGTTTAGCCTATGAGGGTCCTTACTTAAGTCAATGTTTCAATATGGATATAGCCTCCATTTAAAAAAACAAATCCAGATTTCCAACTTCTCTTGGAAACACAGAAGATAGGCCTAGATTCGACCCATTATCCAACCAACAGAAACTGGCCAAACCGGAGCAGTGGCTGCTCTGTTCTCGCTAAGTCACCAGTCACCAACGCTCTCAGTTGTGAAGTGCCGTCAAGTTGGTTCCGACTCATAGTGACCCTGTACAGGGTTTCCGAAAAGCAGCTGGTGAGCTTGAACTGCCGGCCTTGAGGTTCAAACTGACCTTGCAGTCCAGCGCATTAACCCAGGACTCCATTCCAAATTGTAGAAGTTGGCAAACTTTTCACGTAAAGAGCCTAAAAGTAAAAATCTTAGGCTCTGCCAACCATGCACCGCCTGCCCCATGACTAAGCTCTGCCAATGTGGCAAGGAAGCAGCCACTGACAATGAATGAACTCATGGCGTGGCTGTGTTCCAATAGAGCATACTAACAAAACCAGAGGGCTGGATCTGGCCCTGCCCTGCTGCCTTCCCAACATCTAACATGGCTCCCACTGTCTGAGAGATGAGACACTTCCCCTGAACTCATTGCTCTATCAAAAACGCAGGAGAGCACTTATGCCTCTGGCCAGCCTCACCAATGATAGGCCCTGTCCTCTGGTAGCGTAGTGGTTACATATCAGGCTGCCAACCTCAAGGTCAGCAGTTCGAAACTACCAGTGGTTCCGCGGGAGAAAGATGAGGCTTTCTGCTCCTGTAAAGATTTACAGCCTTGGTAACCCTGTGCAGCGTCACTGTGAGTCGGAACCGACTCCAGGTACTCAACAACAACAACTGCAGATGTACCACCAGCCTTTGCCCAATACCTGAAGATCAAGTGTCCTGACTACAGCAGGTAGTGTGTCGTCAGAGCCACTCCCAGGAATCCTAACTGCATCTCAAACCACGCCAGGCATCAGGAAATAAGGCTGTGGTCTACCTCTCCTCCATCTTCCCCTGGGCCTTTTCATCTCTTCCCGTGGCTTCCAGAACCTCCCTCCTTGCTGATCCAAAATCTTTCTTCATGCCTCAGGCCCTCACACCTCTGCTCCAGCCATATGGAGTTCCAGGCAGTGCCCCCAACTGCCCTTCACAAGCCAGAGGAATGCCCACCCTCACCTGTGCACCTAACTCTTCTCTTCATTCCCAACCCTGTAAAACTTTCCTACTCTGGCTCCTCGTCAAGGGAAAATTGGCCACTTGTAACCTTCAATGCCCATGTGCTGTCTGCGTGTCTGGCCCCCACACTAGAGCAAAGCTCCTTCAAGGCATAGATTATGTTCTGGAAAGGATGTTTTTAAACAAGACGTGAACCACTAACTATAATGGGGAAAGCACATCTTACTCTGCCAAGATTAAGGACAGTTTCTCATCACAACTCCCTTTAAAAATAAAAAGACAGGTTACAAGTAGATAGAACATACCAAGGGTCTTCAGAAAGTTCGGGGGAAAAAATTCCAGACTTTCTGAAGTCCCTTCCTAGTTGCGACACACAAAGGGTTAAAATCAAGACCCTATAAAACATTCCTACAAATCAATGTTCCTAAGAAGCACAAAGAATCTCAGAAAAAATTGACAAAAACATGAAAATTTCACAGAAAATACATATGGCTAGTAAACACAAGAAGAAGCATTCAACATCAGCATTCAGGAGCATGGAAATCAGGATCCCAAAGATTTGATGTCATACTCACTGGACTGGCATAAATAACAAATTATCAATAGTAAGGGGATGGAGCAACTGCAAGTTCCTTCTAAAGATTGAAAACAGATCAGCAATATCTCACGCTAAACACTGATTTCCCCACATGACTCAGCAGTGCCGTCCCTGAGTTTACACTCAGTAAAACTCTTGTACTACAGGAGACCTATACAAAACTGACCAGAGCAGTATGCGCACAAAAACCTGGACCGAAATGAATTCCTGCCAATGGTAAATCAGATGAGTGAAAGTGGTGCATTCACAGCAATGGACAGTATTACTCAGTAGTCACATAATGAGCCACATGGCATGATGACATACAATACGGAAGAAATCTGAACAATATCAGACATGTAGAGGTGGCAAAATGGTACAGCTACCTCAGGATGAGACAGGGATACCTGTCTCAAGATCCTAGCTTTTCTTTAGGGTTGCTGGATCGTAGGTGCTTACGAGGTTAACAAAATTACAGGTAATTCCAAGGCTTACAAACAAGATTCATTCCGCTAAGATTGGTAGATCAGTGGGAACAGGTTTATGTGGGGCCTAGTTAGCCTTCAGGTAAGATCAAGTGTACAGCAAGCGAAGATGGAGGTGATACAGAATTTGTTGCCAGTAGGAGTTGGTTTGTCTAACTCACCCAGTTCAAAGCAAGGGCAAATTGCCGTAGCATTAAAGTCCACTCCATCTAATGCCATGGAGTCAATTCCGACTCACAGTGACCCTGTATGTAGGGTTTCCAATGCTGGAAACCTTTACAGGAAACAGACAGCCTCATCTTTCTCCTGGCTTGTGACTTATTAAATGAATTGGCGAATGTTGTGCTATACATATACCAAACTCAGGAGAAAGCTGAAGCAGTCTACTCATATGAAGATTCACAGCCTCAGAGATCCTCAGGGCATTTCTACTCTGTCTATAGGGTCACTATGAGTCACAACCACCAACATGTCAGAAAGCAGAGGGTTGGGCTATGCGCTGGGTGTCACACACTTTTTTTTACAACTAAAGTGCTAACTAAATGAAGTCCTTGTGAGGCGCTGTGGGTTTAGCGCCAGACTGCAAAGTCGTTTGAACCGGAAGGTCAGCAGCTCAAGCTTACCAGTGGTTCCTCAGAAATCCTATACAGGGTCACTGTGGGTCAGAACCAACTCGACTGCACTTAACAACAAAATGAAAGCAGGACAAGAATGGATGCTGATAAGCCTATATGAATTTAACTCTCACTGTCTACAGTTAAAATTTGAAACAAACACAAGGGAGATGAACGCTAGTACCAACTTACAAGCCCTGGCACAAAGAACTTCAGTACACAGTCGTGGAACAAATGAATTACTTTTCTCCCAAGCGCAGGGCCCCATTTCCTATGGGACTCTGAAGAGCCTTCGACATGTCTTGAAGCCAAACTCATCTTCCTTTTTAATTCTTTTTTTGTTTTCTAGGTTCCTGGGATCCATCCTGCCTCAAGCCACTCAGAGAAAAATCTGTGATTCCTGCTCCTCCTCAATCTTCTCTACAACCTAAGGCCTCCTCACATCCCCCTTCAGCCACCCTGCTAGCATATGATTGCTATCTTCATGCCTTTCACCAGGGTAAGCACATCCTCCTAACTGGCATCTCCAACAACTCCCACATCTCCTGCAGATACCAGTGCCAAGACTGTCTCCTAACACCGTCAAAACTCCTTAGCTGTTGACATTTAAAGCTCATCCCAGTTTGATCCCTCCTGATCCCACCTATATGAAGGGGCTTCAAAAAGCTCATGGAAAAAATCCATTATCTTTCTATTCCAGCTCCCCAAGAACTTTCTGAAGCCTCCTTGTGCTTATGAGAGCACTTCCTTTCAACGCCCCCTCTCATCCACATCTCCCCTCCCCAACCCCTCCAAAAGCATTTAAGGATAACTTTCTCCTCTCATAAGCACTCAGAGTTCCCTCACTCCCATGTCTCTCTCTCTCTAGAATCTCCTCTGCTTCCTGGTACTGTCAAGGCCTCATGTCAACAGCGCCTTGATCTGCACAAGAGAAAATCACCCCCGCCTCCCAATCACTTGATCACTTGCACAGGACAGACAGAGGGCTGTGCGTTCCCTCTATCTCTTCAACTTGACTGCACAAGCTGATAACAGAGGCTCATGTCTACCTCCCACTCCCAGAAGTAGGCACGACGTAAGGAGCATAGATGATCAAACATCATGGGTAAGAGAAGAGCGATATGAACTACAAGGGCTAAAAGCAAAGAATAAGCCAGCCCAACCCATGCCATGCTTCCTAAACAAGCAGTCTTTTCATGGAAAACTGCTCAATTTTGTGGACCTGGCCCACAAAACCCTCAACGCTTAGCCACGTGCCTACCTTTCCAGCCTCCTCTAGCCTGCACCTACCCTTTGTCTCTCCAGCCACACAAAACTACTCCCAGTGCCTCTGAGTTTTAAGACTTGCACATTATGAAGCAGGGCCTGGCTACTTTTCCACACTACCAAAGTCCTGCCGCTCCTTCTCAACTCAGCTCAGCTAGCATCGCTACAGTCAGCCTTCCCGATGGTTCTGGATCAATCTGAGGCCTCTGCCCCGAGCTTCACCCCCCACACCTCAGCCGGTATCCATCACACCAACGACAACATCTTGGGGGCTGACTGCTGCGCCTGTCTTTGCCATTCAACAATAAGCAACCAGAAGGCAGAGAACTTATCTTCCATCCTTACACCCTCAGCACTTGACAGAAAAGAGCAACCCAGTAAAGGAAAGGTCATGTGACAAAAGAAAAAAAAAAAAATCCAGTTCAAATACAGAAATCATGCCTTGTGTTCTTCATCCCATAAAACACGGCTTAAGGTGGAAACCATCCTCCTCTAAGACTGGTCAAACAGGAGTTGCAACGGGCAAGCAGCCACTTTAATTTATCAGAGACAGCTGGCAATCAACAATCAACTCCCAGGGCTCACTTTCATCCGGGAGCCCGCTATCACCCACCCCTCACCCCCACCCCAGGTCCCAGGCCCTACCTTCTCTATTGAAAGCCAAATGGAGAACTGGGCAACATAAAGCCACCGTGACGCTCACCTTTTCTCTCTGGAGAGCTGGCACACTCTGTCCCCTCTTGATGAGATACCAGACTGTTAGCAGGAATAACTTGTTTGTGTTCCCATCTTGATATAAAACGCAAACAACCCAAACCAGGCAAATCGGAAAGGCTTGCTGAGCCAGCGACACAAATTCCAAGGCACCTTTGCCAACAAGAAAGAAGAGATCCCATTTTCAATTGAGAAATAGCAGTTAGTGAAGCACGGATGGCCACCTGCTTTGCAACCTGGAGCTGGGAGAGGAGGCAGAGCAGGGGATTTATTTTCCAACTCAGCCTAGGCAGAGGCTCAGGTACCCTAGTCTTCCTCCACCCACTCAAGCGTCAAGGGGATCATTTCCAACAACCCACAATTGTATACACCCAAGCCCTTGCAGCTTGTTTTGGGCCGTTGAGTCGATTCCGACTCACAGTGTTTCTATACTGTTTCCAAGGTGCGTCTGGTGGATTTGAACCATCAACCTTGTGGTTAGCAGTCCAGTGCTTATCTTATCTTAAGCGCCACACCAGGGGTCCCTGGCACAGAAAGGTCGATGTGGATTTCATAAGCCAGTCTAATGGCTCAAGTGAAGGCCTGATTTGGGTTGCCAAGAATTCTCCTTTTCAGTCGCCAGGGTAGGAGGGCGGGCTGAAAGATTTGGGGCGTTTGTACACACTGTTTCCACTGCTGCTGGCAATTAGGGAAGTAGAAGTCGTGTGGTGGGCAGCAGCTGACCAAGACAGGCGGGATATGAAAAACAAAAAAAAGGAGCCCCAGGAAAACGAAGACTCTTCTCAATCGTTTTAGGGACACATTACGGGCGCCTCCAAAGTGACCCGGACACGAGGTTCTCAGAGAGAGAACCCGATTGCAGAGGACGGAAGCAGAGTTCTCAGGCAAACTCCGAAGCACAGCTCGGGTCCCGGTGAAGTGTTTCACCTGGAGGCAGACCCCAGACAGCGCCCAGTTAGGTGGTCAGGTGGCAATACCTCCTCCGGATCCTGGGGAAAACGGGCACACGCCCCCCGACAGAATCAAACTTCGAGGGTCTGTCACTTCCCCGTCAGCCTTTTAGCTCCAACTAGGCGTTCACCCTCCTGCCCAGGAGCCGGTCCTATCCAAAGCTCCCAGCGCCTCCCTGATCCCAAAACTTCCGCCTCCGGGACCCCCAGCCCGCGGGCCAGTCCTCCCAGTCGCCCCGGCCCTCACCCCAGACTCGCCAACTCCAGCCCAACCCGCTCTCACTCCCACGCCCGCCCCCTTCCGGTCCCAGCTGAGCTCGGTTAGCCGCACCCTCGGGACCCCGGCCCTGGCGACGAGCAGGCGAGCTGCCCGCCTCCTCACCGAGGCTGAGGAGGGAGACGAGACAGACTGAAGGGGACCGCTGCGCTCGGACTACGGCTCCGGTTCGGCCTGGGCAGGACTCCCTCCAGCTGCAGCTCCGAGTCTAAGGAGGTGGCAGCCAGACTGAAACTCGGCGTCGCAGCTTCCGAAAGCTCTAGTACGCATGTCCACGACGCGCCGTCTTCTGGGAAATGTAGTTCCTGCGGGACAACGGGGAGTTGCTGAGCCCAATTAGCACGTGTGCAGGTGTAAGTGCTTCCTCCTCCTATTTGATTTACTCCTTCATTAATTCACTGACTCGGTCGAAAGAGTTTGTTTTGTTTGTTTTGTACTATGTGGTGCCAGGACCTCTGCTGGATACTGAAAATTAAATGGTAAATCAGAAATTTCGTTTCTCTCCTGGGAGAGCTCCCCGTTTACCTAGGTAAATAGACATTAAATACGCAACTAACAATATTTTGTAATAAATGCCATGATAAAGAAGGGAAGTACAGAAAAGAGTGTGATTAACTTTGGGCTGAACTTGGTAGTCAGAAAAGATTTCTCAAAGGAAATGGGTTGACTTTTGAAGCCACATAGGGGATTGTCAGATGGGATACAGAAAGCAGTGAGAAGCTTCAAAGTTGTGTGGCCATGGCGAAGGTATAAAGCCCGGCAAAATCTGTAAAGTGTGCCCCTTCCCCAAGTTTCCAGATGATTGTGGTAGTAGTCATGTGCCGTGGACTTGGTTCTGACTCATAGCGACCCAGCATAGGGTTTTTGAGGCTGTGAATCTTTACGGGAGCAGAAAGCCTCATCTTTCTTCCGTGGAACCACTGGTAGTTTCGAACTGCTGACAGTGAGATTAGAAGCCTGACTCTGTATCCCATACAGAAAGCCTGACTCACTGCTTTCTGTATGGGATACAATACACCTCAGTCAGACGCTTTCATATTTGTAATGTGTTATAATGTCATTCCATGTCTTCTTTGTCACCTTGTATCGCCTCTGCCCTCCCCCCACCCCCACTATGTCTCTGGATGTCTTTCCAGAAGTACTGAGTTAATAGAAACTGCTTTCTGGGCCATGTGCAATGCCTGCCATACCTAAACATGACTCTGGGCCATAGAATACACAGACAGGGTGGGAGAGAAAAGGAGGAAGGAGAAGATAGGCTGGAATTGGCAAGATATGAATATAGAAAGAAGATGCTTAAGATCACGATGGACTTTGAATGCCATGCAAGGGATGTAGGTAACTGGAACCAATGGAAATAACAAAGCAGGCATTTTAGCAAAATGCCTGTGTGGTAGATGGAGAATCAGTTATAAACCCCAAACCAAACCCACTACCAGCAAGTCGATTCTGACTCATAGTGACCCTTTAGGATGGAATATAGTTGTCCTATAGGGTTCCCAAGGCTGTAAATCTTTTGGGAAACAGACTGCCTATGGAGCAGGTGGTGGGTTTGAACTGCTGACCTTTTGGTTAGCAGTCATGTACTTAACCCTTACATCATTAGGACTCCAGGGGATTGATTGCTATTGTTAAGTGCTGTCAAATCAATTCCGATGTATAGGGTTTCCGAGGAGTGGCTGGTGACTTTGAACTGCAGTCCTTGCAATTAAAACCGACTTTGTGTCCAGTGCTTATCCTACAGTCCCACACCAGGACTTCAGAGGACTGATTGGTGGTGGTAGGTATGTGCTAGGAGTCGGTTCTGACTCATAGCAACCCTGTATAGGGTTTCCAAGGCTATAAATCTTTCCTGGAGCAGAAAGCCTCATCCTTCTCCTGTGGAACAGCTGGTAGTTTTGAACTGCTGACCTTGAGGTTAGCAGCCTAACTCGGTAACCACTACGCTACCAGAGCTCCTTAGATGATTGACTGTTGTTGTTGTTGTTGTAAGTGCTGCCAAGTCAGTTCCAACCCATAGCGACCCTATACAGGGTTTCCAAGGCTGTAAATCTTTATGGGAGCAGAAAGCCTTGGCTGGTAGTTTCGAACTGCTGGCCTTACGGTTTGCAGCCCGATTCGTAACCACTATGCTACCAGAGCTCCTTAGATGATTGACAAGAGGGAAAGAAAAAGACGATGGGAGACCAGAGGCTCACTGTTCCAGTAGTCCAGATAGAAAGTGATGAGGCCTAAATCAGGCTAGAGGTTCCGTTTTTGAGATCTGTAATAGGGGTGTGAGAAACATTGTCGATACCCCGATACTGCCTTGGTTCCTCTTGGTTATGAGGTTACCAATGAGTAATCACAACCGCTTACCAACCAACACTCAAGAAATCCAATCTGTACTCATTTTAGTGAGAGTGAGGTTTTCTTTATTCAATCTAGTGCCCAACCCATAGACATGGACGGATGCACCACATGGCTGGGCTCGCCAAGACTATTATCCCCCTATCTCGAGAATTCCTCCTGCAGTTAATAAGGGGTTAACTATCTAGCCCTGATGGCTCCTCTGGCCTTAATGACTGTATTCTTAGTTAAAGTTCCTAGTCCTAGAACAGATTTCTTTCCCCTACTCCTTGAATTCATCCTGCTTACATAACCCCTGGATATGAATCAACAACCTTTGTCTGGTCTAGCAATTTCGTGCACCCTTTATTCCTGAAGATGAACCATCCTGAGAATTCCTCACAGGGGGAAATAGACCCCAGATACAAAGATGTTCTGTAAAGAGAGACCCTTTTATTCAGCTTTTAAAAGGACTAAGGCAAAAACATCTGGATGAGGGAAACCATCAACATCGGCCAGCTGAGTCCACTGATATGAAATCATCACAAGACCAGGATGGGTAGCAGATACAATCCAGCAGTGTGACAGGCGGGAGTACCAAAAAAGAGAAAGGACCAACTGCAGATTAAAAAGGAAGTCACAGGACTAGTTATAATATAGGGCTTCGACCACCTGTGGTGCCTGGGGGGTGAGAGGTAATGACTCATGATTTTATGACCAAAAGGTACTTATAATGGGGAGAGGGGCAACAAAGGCATGAAGTAACTGGCTTACAAGCTTTCAAGAGGGAGCTTAGTTTCAGAGGGCATGTGGAAAGGTAAAACCTCCACTGTGAAAGGAGATGGGGATAAGACTTGTGGTTCAATAGTGAATAATTGCTATCAGGACTGATTGTGAATGTTGCAAATGTAAAGGTAGACGTTTTTGTAACAAAAGGAGGGGAGTGTTTGATCTTGCAGTTCAGGAGGGGAGGACCCCCAGGGACCATCAAGGGAGAAGAGTGGAGTGTGGGACCCTATCCAGAGAAGCAGCAAGCCAGAGATGGAGGCAGAGATGATGACATGGAGAGATGAAGTGGCTGCGGACCCTGGACTCAGGGAGGGAGAGGGCTGTGTGCTGGCGGCTAGGTGGCTGGCGTGCAGGGTATATACCCTTTGGTTGTTTGAATGGTTATATATTCCTGAATGCTTTGGTATACATCAAAAAAAAAAAACCACACCACAGGGATTGGAAACAAATGCTGTTGATGGATGATACATGGAGGGGACTGTAATCATTGCAATGAAACGAAATACGATAGGATGAATGTAAAGCTGATGCTCTCCCATGTAAACTATCACTCAATTCACAATAAAAACTTTTTTTTAAAAAGGTAGTTATAAAGCAATAGGACCCCAACTTTTATAACTTAATATAGTCTAAATCTGACAGGGTAAATACACAGGCAAGCTCCCTAGTTATTTGTCTTGAGTGATCAACTTTGAACTCCATCCTTCCTGAGGGTAAACTGCCTCTCCCTCAACTTGCCTTGGATGTATCTAAGCACAGCCACACTGCTAGTTTTAATGGCCAACAAGTATTGCGGAAATC